GGACCCATTTAGGGAACAGTGAAATTTTGATGTAGTAAAACACAGAGTAGCTGAGGAAAGTGCAGTAGTAACAAAGCTAAAGAGAAGGAATGGGGCCGGTTTATGAAGAACCTTGAATACCACCTCAAGAATCACAGGTAGTGGGAAGACATTGACGGCTTTTGAAAAAGAACAGTACATGGACTCACTTGACCTTAGAAAGATCTCTCTGGCTACAGCCTGGAAGATGGACTGGAGGGGACCCAGCTGGAGGCTGTTCCAGAGGTCTGGGCAGGAAAAAATGAGAGCCTGACCTAGTGTGGTGGCCTGGAGGATGGAGGGAATGGGTGGATACAGCAGATGGTGATTTGGTGGAATCAACAGGACCTGTTGAATTGCTTGACTTTGGAAAGGGGTTGAGGGAGAAGGTGTGAGAGTTGACTCACATTTCTGCCTTGATCACTTATCTAAAAAGGCAGGAATGCTCAATTGTGCCAAATGCTCCCAATAAGTCACGGGAGACAAGGATTCATAAGTGACCATGGGATTTAGTGACAAAAAGTTTTAAGTTCTGTTGGGGAGGCAGAAACCAAGTAAGCTGCAGAAGCAGAAGTCATGAATGGGAAGTGGGAAATAATAAGGCCAAGTGAGCTTCCTATTCAGCTCAGATATACAAGAGGAGGAGAGGATGAAGTAGTAGATGAAGACTCAAGGAATCTATTCTTAAAGCAGAGAATAATATATTTCTGCTAAAATTTCCAGCATTTCCCTGTAGGCTAGCTGTGTAGTAAGCCTGTATCCTCATTTATGAAATGATTTTTAATAGTACCTACTGCATAGATTTATGGTGAAGGTGCAGTCTTCATATTCCTAACAATTGTTTATTGTCTATCTTCCCTACTAAAATTTAAGTTCATGAGAAATGCTGACAGCTCCTAGTTCATGATATGGTATACTGTTGATGAATATTTGTTAAATGAATGATGCATTTAAGACTCTGAGCACAGTCCTGCCCAAGGTAAGCACTCAGGGAAGTTAGCCAGTGTATGTGATCCTGATGGAGAGGAAGGGCTACAGGAGGAAGCCCCATGCCCTCGGCTTGCTGTTTTCCAGACCCCGAGGAGGTACCCCCTGACTGCCAAAGTGGGAATATGGGCATTTCTATGGAGGTGCCAGGAGTGAGCCCTCTCGGGCAGACTCACCCTTTCCTGAACCGATGGCTGGACTGCAATGAAGAGCAGGCTGTGGACCCCAAACACCTCCTCCAGCACTGCTTCATGGCTGCAGTGACTGCCAGTGACATTCCAGGCAGCCCTGAGGAGGCTCCTGTCCCCAGTCTAGACCCAGCCCCATGACATCCAATAAATGTCTCTACACTATCCTCTTCTGGAGTCTCTTTTTGGTAAAAGGTGGGGGTGGGGATAACCAAAGGGACTTTGGAGCCTAGCAGGATAAATGAGGGCTTTTCCTAGCAAACCCACTCAGGTCCGCTGTGGACCCAGCTATAGTGCTCTGCCTGGCCTACTGTGGGCCAAAGGGAGTTTAGACACGGGTCCCCAGTGAAATGGTCATAACAGCTCTATGCAACCAGGAAGAAGCTCAGGGCCTGTGGAGACGCAGAGGAGCCCCTCACCTAACAACCTGGAGAGTCAGAGAATTCTGACTTGGTCTTCCTGCCACAGAGCTGATGTACTTAGGAAACCCAGGGAAGATGACCAGCACCCAGAGGCAGGTGACTCCTGCCTCTCCAGCAGCTCTGCGCCACTCCTGGAGTGAGCCCCTTCCAAGGAACAGAATGAGTGGGAGTGTAGCGTACATACACAGGGCCCAGCCGTGTTTAGTATCATTCAGTTTCTCAGGTGAATGAATGAGTGAGGGAATGAATGGTTAACAGATAGAATACATGCCCCACAGTGCGGACCCAGCCCCTTCCTGGCCCTGTGTGGCCTTGATAAAGTCCCTTAGTCTCCCTGAGCCTCAGTTCCCTTGCAGGGTTATGGTGAGTGTCCAATGAGATAATGGATATGAACTCTCTCTTTCTAAACATGAAAGTGCTACAGAGACCTTTTAAAAATTACAGATGGGTGTTTTTCAATATAACATAGTGATTAAGAGCAGGGACTCTGGAGCCAAGTGCCTGGTTCAAATCCTGTCCCTGCCCTTGCTTGCTGGGTAACATTCGTGCCTCATCATCTGCACAAGCAGGGATACTAGTAATATCTACCTCGTAGGATTTGGGGAGGATTAAATTACTTAGTCCATGCAAAGTACTTAGAACACTGTTGGCAAACGGAAAGAACTGTGTTAGCTTTTATTTTTGGGTTTTTAAAAATATTATGAATGATAGCAAAGGAATCTTCAGGCAGGATGCTGCCTGCCACCCCTCTCTCAGCTGTTCTCCTTATCTTAATGTTGGCAATGGCTTTAGGCTTTGCCTTAGGACTGTAAGCCAAGGATCGGGGAAGCTCAGTAGTCACTGCAAGCAGTTCTTGATGTTTCTGCTGGGTTTGGCAACAGTGAAATGGTCACTGTTAGATATCTGCGGATGGGGCCTGAACCAGCCAAGGGCACACAATGGGTGGCAAGGCAGGGTGAGTCACCCTCAGAAGGGCACTGGGCTGCAAATCAAGAGACCTTGGTTCTGGTCTTGCTTTATTTGTGGTCTTGTGTGTGCGTGCTATTTTCAGCAGTCTAAACACCACACCTTTGTCCACTAATTGTACATTCAGTGGTGCCTGTTCTGTGCCAGGACCATGCAGGTTACCAGAAACAAGAGGAAATCAGCCACATTTCCTGCCCTCAAGGGGTTCATATGGAGGATGAGGTAGGCACGCAAAAGAACAGTGGGCCCAATGGTGGCCCTTCCTGCAGCTTGAGGGAGGAATAAGTGATGTCGGAGCTGAATCACCAAAGATGAGTCAAAGTTTCTAGGTGAGACAGGGTCAGAAGAAATTACGGCCAGAGTACAACCTGTTCAAAACAGTGAGAAAGAGCCTAGCATAGCCCAGGAACTGCAAGTTATTTGTTGAATAGAGAGCGCATAGGGTACGTGTGTGTGGTGGGAATGGGTGACAGGCCGGAGGCTTAGTCACTGATGCTCTATGTGACCTTTCATAGGACAGATCTTGTCTCTCTCCTTGGTATCCCCATCAGTAAAATTCAATTTTTCTCTGCACACTTTCTGTGCTGGCCTTCTGGCAGGTTACAGGGAAGAATCCTTTAATGCCCTTCCTTACCTTTAGGCTGCTCATGGTCTGTTAGGAGATGATCAGTAAATCCTAAGAACTCAAGTGGTCATCGGTGGCCCAAGGTTGTAGTTCTCAAACTTCAGCCTACATGAGAATCAGCTTGTTTAAAACACAGATTGCTGAGCCCCCCTCACTCTGCCCTCAAAGGGTCTGACAGGGTAGGTCTGGAGTTAAGTCCCCAGAATTTGCATTTCTAACTAGTTCCAGGTGATGCTGATGCTGCTGGTCTGGGCCTATCCTTTGAGTGCAACTGGCTGGAAAGAACAAAGAGAACTCAGAGCTGAGGAGGTTAGGAGGAGACCTCACGAGAGCAGGACCCTGAGGCCTGGGAGAATTTCCCCAGCAGGAGCCTGTGTGTGGGTGCGGTAGAGACAGGTGGAAAATAGACTGTGTGCTGCCTTTGCTGACCTGCACGTCCCAGTCCCCATAAAGCTCCTCCCCGTCGTCCTTATTTAGTTTCTCCCTTTTGAATTCAATCAATCCTTAGGGCTGGCTCACCCTGGGGTTGGCTTGCCTCAGTCCTGGGTCGGAAACAAACTGCCCAACCTGTGCATCGGGAACCCCCTTCCCCAGAGCAGCTGAGAAGGAAGGAAGCTGGGTGGGCTGACGCACAGACAGAAATAGTCTGAGCTGACCGCTGCTCCCAAGCACACATCGACCGGCAATTATTTCTTGTAAATTGCTTTCCTTGTTATGTTCAGAACACGTGTGTGTGTGCCTGCCTGAGAACAAAACATTCAGAGGGCATGGGGTAAAGATGGCTAGCTGGGAAACGGGCTCCTGATGGAGTGGAGCCCAAGCCTGAATCTTGGGCCAAGAATTAGGGAATTGTTGAATCTTAGATCTTACAAATATTAGAACCTTCCACTCGCCTTTATAGTGCTGCTGTCAGGTGGTTTTCCAGCCTCTCCTCAAACTCGCACGTTTGTTTGCTCTTTCAGCATTGATTGACAATCAGCATTGATTGACAATGATTCTCTGCCCGTATCTGGGCTGAATGAAGTCCCAGTCCCTGTCATCAAGAAGCTCATGGCTATGGTGTCTACAGGAGATCCTAAAGCTGGCCAAGGGCTTCAGAGAAGGCTTTTTGGAGGAAGTGATGCCTGAATTAAGTCTTGAAGGACCTACTGACAGGTTAAAGGGGATTTATGATACAAGATGGATAACAGTATTCAAAGTAGGGGAACCAATACACAAAAATCCAGAGTTAAGAGAGAGCATATGATGATTTCAAGGAACAATCAGTAGCTCAGTCTGGTGGACACTATAGTCAAGGTGGGGAAAGAGAGATGAAGCTGGAGGGGTAGACAGGCTAAATCCTGAAGCCTCTGCCATATCAAAGGGCTTGGGCTTTATCCTGTGGGCAAGAGGGAGCCATGGGAAAGGGTTTAAAGCACTAAAGGGAACTTGGCACCTCATGTGATAGCTTGTTCTTTCGTATGTTCTTAATGACACTGAAGTGAAACTGGCACCCAGGAGCTCTGCTTTGGGGACCTATTGAACACCTGCCCCTTTGGTTCCCAAAATGTCAGAAGTCTGATGGACAGTGATGGCTCATGGGCCCACAAGGAAAGTCCTGGACATCTCTCTTCTTGTCAGGAGGAGGCCATTGTACTGCCATTTGGGACATTTCTCTTCCTGGTCTATGTCCAGTTAGCTCAAGGCAGAGCACAGGTAAGTGAAGGCCAGAGTCCAGGAGACCAAAGGGCCTTGCTCTGTCCTGGAGATCTGGGAGGCTCTCGTGTGTGGAGCACTCACAAGGGTGTGAATGGCTCCATACCTTCTACATATCTCATGGGATCAAGGCCACCCAGAGTGTCTGGTCTATTCAGGGAGTGTTGACTGAGGATGTACTATGGGTCCAGCACTGCGACAAATGCTTAGGGATAGAAGATGCCATTTGGGACACTGCTCTTCCTGGTCTATGTCCAGTTAGCTCTCAGGCTATTGGAAGAAGACTAAGAGGTTAAATACACAATTGCAATAGTATGGAAAATGCTATGATTTCCTTACTCATTCATCAGTTGAGAGATGGCTTACTACTAAGATAGGTTATACAAACCTCATACATGGCATTACATTAGTGCAATGTAACTTTGCCACCACTCCCATCAAGTAGTAGAAAGTGTTTTTCCATCCTTTGTTTCTGTGCTAACTTGTACTTGCTTGGACAAAGAGCAAGTGGCAGAAGTGACATTGTGCTGTTTTGAGTCTAGGCCTCAAAAGACCTTGAAGCTCCCTCCCTTACCCCTTGGAATGCAGTGTACATAAGGAAGGCTGGGCGGGCCTGCTGGCAGATAAGACCGTGTAGAACATACATGAGGTCTCCACAGAGGCCCTGAGGCCAACGAGATCCCAGCTGAGCTACCAGATGACTGCAACTACTGAGTGACCCCAGGTGAGACCAATGGAAGAACCAACAGCTAAGCCCAGTCCAAAGTGCCAATCCACAGATTCATTAGCAAATAAATGGTTATTGTTTTAAACCACATGTTTTAGGGTAGTTTGTTAACACAGCAATAGATTATCGACACAGGTCTTTTCACATATTTCATTACAATTGTGAATATACCTGTTTTCTCCATTTGTTAGTGAGCTCCTCCTTAGGGGAAAGAAACATCTTTGGACTGAATAGCTTCTGTTTGCCACTCCAGACCCACTCTCTTCCCTTCTTGACCTTGCTCTGTATCTTGGGAAGATGATTTGCATGGTTTACATCAAGAGGCTACTGTGCCCTTTGGATTCTGGTAGGTTTTTGCCAACTAAAGTCTCAGCAGAGTATAAATTCCCCTAGCCTCCTCTCTGAAGTTACATCTTGGACTGGCTGCATCTCTATACCAAGGACATAGCTCCTGCCAGGCGGCCCTTACCGCAGCCCTCTTTGACTCTCGATTCCAGTAACTGCTCTCTCCCTTACTCCTTTAGGCCTAAGGGTAGTAACTACTGCCCTAACATTACCTGCCCTGGAGTACTGCCCTATTCCTTGTACCTGTATTGCATAATCCCTTTATTCAACTCTTCTCAAATTACCCAGTTTGAGAAATGCCTTCCATTTCCTCCTGACACCCTGATTGATAGTATCTCATTAATCTATCCCAGCTGCCACCTAGCTCATGATTTATGCTCCGTAA